ATCAAGTGATCACACCACGCTTCTCTAGAAGTATACTGCCACAAACACACTCAAACGGAATGTCTTCTTCAAGTCGACCTTTGACCTATAGTTGTAGGACAACCAGTTTATCAACAGAATATATTTTAAACACGGAAACTGTAATTGACAAAACGATTCTGGCAAAAGCATATTGTCTCAAGGCTATATAAAGCTTGCTCTGGCTAGACAAACCGGAAACGAGTATATCAATTTACTCTGTCCACACGAATCGGGAATGAGTATAGCATATACAGAGTATATACTGCTTACGTATAACCCATACTGGGGGTACTACTATATATAGTCTTTAAGTAATATTCTCGTAGCACAGCAAAGAAATCAAGAACAGTGTCAAACCAGCGACGGCCTTGGGGAGAGCTGGACCGAAAGTTAGATCGTATGTTAGTATTTCTACCGACTTTTCATTCTAAAACTTTGTCGGGCTCTTTCCCAGGAAGCCACCAGCCTAATATTCAGATACTATACCTTTCAGTTCTTCAGGAGAAGTCATTTGAAGTGTTTGACATATTTGACCCCTGTGGTCTTGAAAGTAGGTCAAAGTCGTTTTCATTATCAAACTTTATTGGGCTCTTTCCAAGGAAGCCACCAGCCAAATATTAAGTTTCTTTACCTTTCAGTTCTTCAGGAGAAGTCGTTTTAAGCGTTGGACATATCCGAATCCTGTACCTTGAAAGGTGGTCAAGGTCATTTTCATTTGCAAACTTTGTTGTGCTCTTTCTCAGGAAGCTACCAGGCCAATTTGAAGAATCTTTACCTTTCAGTTCTTCAGCAGAAGTCGTTTTAAGCATTTGACATATTTGACCCCTGTGACCTTGAAAGTATGTTGAGGTCATTTTCATTATTAAACTTTGTCGGCCTTTTCCCAGGAAGCCACCAGCCTAACATTCAATTCTGTATCTTTTAGTTCTTCAGAGGAAGTTGTTTGAAGTTTTTGACACATTTGACCCCTGTGACCTTGAAAGTAGGTGACTCTAGGCCTGTCCGTTCTTCTTCAGAAGTCGTTTAAAGAAAAAGTTGACTGATGATGGACGCCAGACACCGCACCATGGCATAAGGTCACTTGCCCTTCGAACAGGTGAGCTAAAAATAGTCGTTGTAATTCCATGCTTATCGTTTATCATTTAGAGTAATCACAGCAACTGGTCAACCATGTCGTCAGTATAATGTGACCGGATGGACACTGTGCTGGGAGATTTCGGCATGATATTTCAGTGAGGTAGTACTGTCTAATGTTGGCAAGGAGGCAAATACACCAACATACGCCTCCAGCATACCAACGCATACGATACACATATTGAGGCATGACCTTCAATAACCTTAGCTGTTGATAGGACGTTACACAACATTAAACCAAACCAAAATAGTTATATTAGGCGCATTTCAAAGAGAAACAATCAATCAAAATTCAAAATTTGGAGTAAATTCCTAGTCTGAAACAAGAGGCCCAGAGGACCTGTAACGCTCACCTGAATATTTAAGCAGTTATAGCAATAAGAAAATATTCTCATTAAATATTGTATTGCACTAAAAATATTTCCCTCGCAAACTTTGTCGGTCTATCTGTTGAAACTACCAGCCAAATATTAGTATAAGATTCTATGCTTTTTGGTACTTCTTCAGAAGTTGTTTGACATATTTATCCCTGTGACCTTGAAAGTAGGTCAAGGTCATTTTAATTCTCAAACTTTGTCGGGTTCTATCCTAGAAAGCCACAAGGCCAATTTGAAGATTCTATAACTTTCAGTTTTTCATCAGAAGTCAGGTGAAGTGTTTTGACATATTTGACCCCTGTGACCTTGAAAGTAGGTCAAGATCATTTTAATTCTCACGCTATGTCGGGTTCTATCCTAGAAAGCCACAAGGCCAATTTGAAGATTCTATAACTTTCAGTTTTTCATCAGAAGTGAGGTGAAGTGTTTTGACATATTTGACCCCTGTGACCTTGAAAGTAGGTCAAGGTCATTTTAATTCTCACACTTTGTCGGGTTCTATCCTAGAAAGCCACCAGGCCAATTTGAAGATTCTATAACTTTCAGTTTTTCATCAGAAGTCAGGTGAAGTGTTTTGACATATTTGACCCCTGTGACCTTGAAAGTAGGTCTAGGTCATTTTCGTTTACAAACTTTGTCCGGTTCCTACTAACGAAGCTTTCAGTCAAATATCATGGCTCTATGCTTGTTCATTCTTCAGAAGAAGTTGTTTAAAGGAAAAGATGACGGACGACGAACAGACGCTGCACCATGACATAAGGTCACTTGCCCTTCGGGCAGGTGAGCTAAAAATGAACAAAGTGGACTCAATCTACAAAAATACATTTTAATCATACTAAAATATGTATGACATTAGCACACAGACATTATGTATAGATGATACAAGTATTGATATAGTATATAATGCATTCTCATACACATGGTGTGAATAAATGTTAAATCTATGACAACAGCACAATCAATGAGCATGACCTAGAAATGATGTATAGTATGTATTATTACTTGTTGTGTTTTTGTTCAAATCTAGACTTTATTAAGTCAGACATGCCCTTTAGAAAGATATAAAAATTCAGACATAAGATCATATCAACGGGATAGTTTTGCAGTGTTATGTCAACAGTGTTATATCTGGCTACCCAGCGATACCTTCTCTGGTTATATACAAGGACATGTATCATCAATGAGTGCGGTAAGCATGAAGAAATCACAACAATTATACAAAGCTGATTACTGGAATCTGTAGGTATAGTGCTTCAGCAGTGCCTTAAGCTACCTTACAGTATATATGTGGCACATATCATTTTTGTTTGGGTTATCTCCCTTACCTTTTTTTCTAAATTAGTATCAATTAGGAGGTCCAAATCGAAAACATTAATAAATCAAGTGAAAAATTCAGATTATATCAACAAGATTTGTTTACAGGTTTCGTGGTGATAAAATCTTATAAAATCTATGCTTTTCCATGAACAGCCCTGATATACATTTAAATACAGCACATCACATCTCATAGACTACCATTAACCAGCTTTGTGAAGTAATTCTTGTTAATTTATACCAACTCTTCACATAATTAATTGTGCGTAGTACAAGACAGTAATATCACAATAATGGTCAAACTAGTTCATAAATGGTCCTAGCTCAACTAATATGATGTAAAATTTCGTTAAATTATTGCACTACATAAAATGTTTAGAAAAAAAAGTAATCTGATCTACAAATAACTTTGTTTATATAAAAAAAGTAATAATATTTTTTAATAATTACAATAATATTAAATAAATACAATAGTGTGAAACATCATGCTTATAATGGAAATGATATAACTTATCATACGTTCCTTGTCATTTCAGATTCATTACTTTTACTCTATTACAAAACTATATCCTAGTAAGTCATGTGACACATTAGAACCTGTATCTAATGAACATATCAAATGACATTCATGAAACTCTGATGTAGTAGTTTTACAAATGTACTGGTACTTCTGAAAACCAAAGTTCTGGTCTTGTGTGTAGCAGCAGAAATGTTCCTCAAGTATTATTCAAGGTCATTATGTAGCACTAAATTTAGGACGTATTTTTAGCAGGTTTTTTTGGTTTAATGAAGCACTTAATTTATAAACATTAAGATTTTTTCTGTGATTGCTACATAAAGAGCTTTCTATTCAGTAAATACAAATGTAAATGTACTGTTTAAATGGTGATGGGGGTTGCTATGTAGCACTAAATTAAGAATATATATTTCAATGGTGCTGGGGGTTGCTATGTAGCACTAAATTAAGAATATATAATCCAATGGTGTTGGGGGATTGCTATGGAGCACTAAATTAAGAATATATATTTTAATGGTGTTGGGGGTTGCTATGGAGCACTAAATTAAGAATATATATTTTAATGGTGTTGGGTTGCTATGGAGCACTAAATTAAGAGTATATATTTCAATGGTGTTGGGGGTTGCTATGGAGCACTAAATTAAGAATATATATTTTAATGGTGTTGGGGGTTGCTATAGAGAACTAATCATTTACAATAAATTTAGTACAATATGTGCAGCAGTAAAATTCAATATTTAATTTGTATAAAAAGGTAATACAACTGCCTATACATACAACTGATTTCTCTCCTATATCATACTATAACTACTATCATATATCAGAAACCTTACAGGGACAAGTGACATTTCGACAATTTGTCAGATTTTTGTTTACTTCTCAAAAGGATCTCGAAAGCGAAATAGAGGAAACAAGATTTCAAAGTGACAATAATATTGAAATACAACAGTTTATTACAGTTTTACCAGCGAGATATTGAAAATTATTCACTCTATAAAAGTGCTATTTTTCACTATCATTATTGGTACAACTCATGACTTCTTGACCAACATTTAATGTAAATTTATATCCATGAAAAAATCAAAATGTTAAACAATCTATATAAGTTACGTACAAAACAAAATAAGATCTACAGAAACATCAGGAAATCTAGCTACAATGTACCCAGATGTTCATGGAGTATTATATGTGTAATACATAATACATGTGCTCTACAAACATGTAATACATGTGTTCTACATACATGTAATACATGTGTATGCATGTGTCTACATGTATAAAATTCATGTGTACATATGTATGTGTACGATATAATACATGTGTACATATGTATGTGTACTATATATATATAATACATGTTTACATATGTATGTGTACTATATAATACATGTGTACATATGTATGTGGACTATATAATACATGTGTACTATATAATACACGTGTACATATGTATGTGTACTATATAATACATGTGTATATATGTATGTGTACTATATAATACATGTGTACATATGTATGTGTACTATATAATACATGTGTACATATGTATGTGTACTATATAATACATGTGTACATATGTATGTGTACTATATAATACATGTGTACATATGTATGTGTACTATATAATACATGTGTACATATGTATGTGTACTATATAATACATGTGTACATATGTATGTGTACTATATAATACATGTGTACATATATAACATGGTTGTGACTCATTGATAACAACTGATGTACAATCACACCAAAAGAAAAGGTTTACATATAATTATCACATTATTAGCAGTAGAAATGCTGACCACCAGTATATTAACAGCAGTTCCAAAATCCATCCCACTCACACTCCAGTGACCATCAGTACTGGCCACAGTTGATCATCATGCACCAGTTATACTCCTTGCATTGCAGCAAGTGACCATCGTCACTGGCCAAGCTGGTCATCACATTACACCAAACTGTCACATTCCACCCAAGAAACAGTGGCCAGAGCTGACTATTTCATTACAATCACATTGTCTCTAAAAGACCATCAACAGTGACCAGAGTTGCATTGGTAATCACACTTCATCACACAGTCCTACTCAAGCTTTGTCTTAGTCACCATCAATGCTGGCCAGAGTTGACCATAGCATTTCCATCACAGTCAAATAACATACCAGTGACCATCAATAATGGCAAATGTTGACCATATCATGTCATTATTACTTCACACAGTGTTATTCATTCCTATATTGACCACCACTAGACAATACCAAGGTCTAACTATCACATGTATTATACTCTGGTGCACCTGCTCTGCTAGTTTCATGCAATGAAAAGTATTCCCTACAAAAAGTACAAGGAGAAAAAGCATTATTCAACTGTAAATATGCCCCCTCCTCCTAACCCTTTCACCACTGTAGACTATAATGGACTCATCCATATCAATGTATGGTAGAGTCTACTAAAGTTACATAGGGGTACAAGGGCTAAATTACAGTGGTGTGTGTGACAAAATATTAGCAGGTCAGTGTCCTGAAATTTGTATGAACTCTGGGTCATTGACATTGCATGAACACTCAGCAATGACATTCTGTGTGTCATTTGGAAACTTATTCTGATAAAGTAAAATACTGTTTTCAAATCCATGGTTTTTAATTATAGTAACAAAGATTATGACATAATATAAATATATGTTTCTTTGGACTTTGTTATAAACACAGTTACTGTAGTTAATAACATTCTTTTTCAATTTTTCAATTAACACAAATACATGGTGTTTGGTTGGTTCAAATCTAGTTTACCCTATCTTTGACCTATCAAACTGTAGTGTATAATAGTTGAACGTGTGTATATAGCAGAGTATAATACAATGTAACCATGTTGTATAATTAGACCTTCATATATATATATATACTGTGATGATAATCAGCGACCATAGACATTGACCGGAGGTGACCATTCAGATCTTCCACTTCACAACTGTTGTACAATCTCCTACCTAACTAGTGACCATGCACAATGGCAGGAGTACTAGTATTGACCATTCATACACTCGTCATACACTCTCCCTCAGAACACACAACCTACCTCCTAACGAGTGACAAGTGACCAACAACAATGGTCAGATGACCATTCACACACCTGTCACAAAATGTCCTATCTAGTGACCATTCACACTGGCCAAAGTTTTGATCATTTAGACACTTTGTCATACAATCTCCCTTGTAACAGCTGACCATCAATTTCGGCCGGAATTTACCATTCACACACCTGTCACACAATTGAGTTACCAAAAACATTGGCCAGAAATTGACCATTCACACACCTGTCACACAATTTCCCTTCCTAATAACGAGGCCAAATGAAACATATTTGTTATGTTTTCTCTACCTTAACTATTTTCAATGCCTTCCTTAATGGCTTTTGGGCTGATCTAAAAGGACCTGGTTCTGTCTGAAATAATCTCTCTATAATCTTTAAGTTATTATGCAAAATAAAACAGTTCTGCCCACCTATTAGAATACCTTCCCTAATTTTTGACAGTCAAAAGCAAAAACATGTCAACTGTTTTGTTTGGTCTGATTATCAACTGTGGTCCCAGTTTATCATTCAGACCCCAGAGATGACCTATCCCGCAGACAGTCGTCCGTGACCACATTTGCAGTATTCCTCGACACTGGTCACATGCCAATTTGTTCAATTGTGCACACTGCCAGAGTTCACAGTTCAGCCACAGTCCGGCTGTCGAGGATTAATTTCCTCCAGCCTGATACATTTGGCACAATGCTTCATCCATGAAATTTTCTGCCACATCAATAAATTTTGTTCCTGTTTAACAACCAAACGGTTTGTCCAGTATCAGCAGAGTGGTTGTTGATACTTTATTAACACAGAAATCCTTAAATCGAGTGAATTTATCAAATACATGTCATTTACAAGTTTTACAGTTCTTTATCAACCAAACATTTCTTGTGATGCATATGTCATGTACAAAAATCCGTCCTCATCCTTATCATCTCGGTATACTTCTGCCAGGGTCATAGACATGCTTGATATACTCTTGTTGTTCACAATCAGGTAAAACGCTTGGTTGGAATTCAGAGACATCCTATTCCTACATTGAAAGATAAAGAAACATGTATCATATCATAGAGAGTGCATATGTTTTATCAAGGGGGCTTTTGCTACTTGTTTTCTTTGACAGTTAATGATATTATTGTATTTCATCATTTTCTTTCATGATTTACCTCTAATTGCAGACTGGTTTTGGTAATAGTAATTTTTGAACATGTTATGATTTGTATATATGGTCAGTATTTATGATTCCACTTGCAATTTTTACATTTGATATTCATTCTTTTATCTTATATCTCTTAACATGATGACTTGTAGTACAACATTTTTATTTTTGAATATCCTACACTTCAGTGACCATTACAAAAAGTGTGAAGTTAAACTCAAATATATGTTGATCATCGATCTGTATAGAAAACATCTTGTATTCGGCTATACCAGGTAATGATCTTATTCCTAAACAAAACAGTTGTAAGACATCATGAAACAACAAGATCGAGGCAATTTGTCTAGAAGACCTATATTTCCTGCCTACTATAAGCTGCACTTGATATTTTAGTTTACATTGAACTGGACTCCAAATGTGTCATTTCAGAATTTCAGTTACCAGGTACACAATTTTGTACCCATAGCGATGATCTTACCTGATGATGGTAGCAAACTGTGACATGGTGAGTTCTTGTGGAACTAAGAACTTGGTTTTGTCCAACAGAGGGAGCTGGTTTTCTTTATGGTATTTTTCCACGATCACCTGTGAACACAGCCAAACACTATTTTCACATTTTTCCATATACACTCATACCTGTACACATGTATTTAGGATTTCATAGAGCCATGTCAGATTTGGAATGAGAGAATATTTTTCACTGCACATACTGTGAAATCTGATATTTTCGTGAGCCCCAAATTTTGTGGTTTCCCTAAAAAACACCATTTTGTGGGTACACGAATTTGTGGATTACGAGCACCCACTCGTACAGATCATAGCTTTATCTTAAACTTGTAATAACTTTGTGGACCTAGGAATGGTGGATATGAAAAGCACAGTATACAAAGTAAGAATATAACATGTTGACTGATTAAGATTCATATCCAAGAAAATGAGTTTACTCTCAACTATAATAAACAAGCTTCAGCAAGAAGATTATACTTGCATAAAAACTCACAATTTGTTATTAATAATAATAAATTCTCCTGAATTAGATAGAATGTTATCATCTCAGGAAAAATATTCTCAAAACAAATAATATATTTTAATGGAAAACTAACTTACAAGTCTCTGTACCAAATTTTTATTTTTATTTTTCTGATCTCAACAAAATCATATACAGTAAGATGTAACATCATAATGATATTATAGCATCAGTGTATTGAGACATTGTGATCACACCAAACTGAAATGATCAATAAAAATATCTTATATAGTGGTGGAAATGATGAAATCTATTTAGTTGAGCAATTTGAAGTTCAATTTACATAATTGTACACATGTACAATGTGTATACATGTTATATACCGGTACTGTGGTACATTGCACGTTGGTAATAATATATATGATATTGTGTAAAAAAACTTAAAAACTTCTCAGGCAAACCTAACTTGGGGGTCAATGTCTAACAGCAGCTAAATTTATATATGTACAAGGTGGAAATATAGGACTATTAAGTTCCGTTCTGATGTGCAATGTGCAAAAAGGGTTAAAGCTTATATATGACATTTTCTTTGATTTCCTAAATACGCATATGTTTCCATTTAAAAGACATAGCTTGACATTTGAAGCTACTTTATTTTCCGATTTTCTCATATTCAATTTGTGGGAAGTGTTAAATGCCACCAAATTCTAAATTTGATACATATGGTAAATAGAAAAGTAGAAAAATCATAAGCCTTCTTAAATAAAGTCTATTACACATGTGTTCTGTAGATCTGACATTTCTGTAATTGTTGTATTACCCTGTAAATGTCAATGTATATGAGCAGGCAGTAATTGACCAACATTAGCTAGCTTGTTATACACCGATTATCAACCATATAGAGATTTGACATCAGACTTCCACTGGATAAGGTTTACGTTATACTAACAGATGCTTTAGACATGTACATGAATATGTGACTGTTTACACTATAATCTGACTGGAATTTTTGGGTCTATTCAAATCAATATGTTTAAAACACCAACAAAAATTGTACTTACTGGAACTTTTGTAGGAAACTTGGATCGGATTCCTGCTACTTCATCTTTCCTCACAGCTATAATATGCAAGAAGAATATAAGTCAATTATATTGAATAGTCTAACTTAAGTATAAATCTGCTTCTTACTACCAGTTTCCAAATATATATAAGCCACCTGATTCAGATCCTTGTACCCAATTAACAAGCAATAGAAAAAGTCAAGACAGTGTAGACTAGGCCATACCTGGTCGCTGGGCCATCCTGTATCCCTGTGTTAATTAACCAGTGTGTTTTGGTCTGATAATATGCACAAAACAAATACATATTTTCAGAAGTATTGTTAAGTATCTGTATACATATATAGATAAAGTTTAAAGTGCTTAAAAGTCATACGTTTGTGATGTATCTAACCACAGAGTTAGATTAGACGTCTGTGATCTAACATAGGATGGGAGAGGGCATGCTATATGCTGTACCTCTCGCCATCATTCAATATACCCTCACAATCGGCTGACAAGATAGCAGCCAGGTAAAATGACATAGTTTTAAAATACATGTATTATAAGCTACACATTCACAATGTCACATTGAGTTCTCATAAATAAGTTAGAATCACTAAAGTTCCCCCCCCCCCCCAAAAAAATTTAAGAATACTGCTCCATGTTAGTATACATTAGCAAGTATTTTGATACCAGGGCCATTGGGTTTCTTTTTGTGGATATATAGAGCAGAGACGCATATACTACAGCTTTGGCTTTACATGCCTCTGTATAGAGCAAGTTTATTTTCCATAAAGGGGTCTCAGGTTCCGAGGATTTACCAAAGCCTTGATGTTATCAATATCAGTGTTAAAGGGACATCTGCACTGTGAAGTTTTACCAAAGCCTTGATGTTATCAATATCAGTGTTAAAGGGACATCTGCACTGTGAAGTTTTACCAAAGCCTTGATGTTATCAATATCAGTGTTAAAGGGACATCACTGTGAAGTTTTCATATTTTTTGTCTTTTTTTTTTTAAATACTACATAAACATATCAAGTGACTCTCCTTATGGAAAATAACCATCGTTTTTCCTGAAATCTATTCAAGAAAATGAATAATTTTAAGATAATTATCGTGATTTCTACCTGTCTGACCAACGTTTTATATCAAAATGCATGGCCATGAGAATTGTAAGCCTTGAGCGAATGAAATAGCGCAAGGATTACGTTACGGAATCATTATACTGCAGGTGGGAAGTACGGTACATATGTATTATTCCAGATAGCCGGTATAAAGCTGAAATGGAATCAGCAGAAATGCTGTTTATGTTATGAATAAATATCTAAAAATATTAACCTCGTTAGTATCTTTGTCAAAGTTGGAACCTATTTTGTTATGTTAATGGGCATGTGTCGGAGAGAGTTTACTTTGCGTTTCTATATACACTTCTAGTTTATGCGAAAGGAAAGGATAAATGACTGGTTAGTTTGATTTTACTATGGGGCCCTCCAAGGGATAACTATTAACGTTGTGATGTAGTATTCTGTTCTCTCCTCTGTCAGTACTTGGGGTCAAATGAGATATGTGCGATATTAGATTTACATAATTTATAATATTCCCGGGTTCAGTTAAATGGTATGATTTCATTATATTGCTGAAGTAAACAATTTTTTATTTACATGCAAGATTCAAATATATCAAAATGACAGTTCAGGATGAATAACAGAGGAAGTAGAACCTACTTGTAATTAGGATCACATAAAAAAAATACTTTTTAAATTGTAATGTTTCAACAGTTCACACTTTCACATGATGTTGACTTAGAATGTATGATCATGCAACAACTTTTTTCTATAAATAATTAATTTTCTACTTCAAATAGATTCGGAATACACATTGAAAACGGGGAAAATATCATTTGTCTACGTTGTAAAAATGATGCGTGCTGCCGATAACTATGGCTTCTGTTTCGGACAAAAGGAAGTGATCAAAGAAAAGTTGTCTCCACTTATAAAAGGTCCATTCACAAGTATGATTTAATCTCTGTAAAGTATTGAAAACATAAAATTATCAAGTATCTCAACATGTTCCATATCTGACACATATTCTACATGTACACGAAGTGGTTTTGCCATACAGTTTATTACAGTTGATGGCTAATATGACTTACTAAGTGTTAACGTATGAAGACAGTGAAAGTAGGAAAGAGAGTAAACTTGAATAATTGAATATATATAATGCATGGTCTAGAAAAAAGTGGCCAAAGACAATGAGTTGTAATAAAAACAAGAGGCCCAATGGGCCTGAATCGCTCACTTGGTATTAATCTCGCACTTATAATCTTAAAAGTGGACTAATATACAGCTACAGGCAAAATATCTATGTTAGATTCATTTGAATCTATTAAATGATTTAAACATATGACGCCTGTGACCTTGAAAGTCGAACAAGGACATTAAGTTGAACAGAGTTTATAGCCTTCCGTCCCAGCATACTTCTGGCTAAATATCATTACCCTGGACCTTTTGAATATTCAGAACAAGTCATTTAATGATTTAAACATATTTGATTCCTGTGACCTTGAACAAACTTGGTAGCCCTTCATCCCAGCATCTAACTGGCAAAATATCATAACCCTAGGCCTCTTGGTAATATTAACCCTAGGCCTCTTGGTAATTCAGAAAAAAGTTGTTTAAAAGTTTTAAACATATTTGACCCCTGTGACCTTGAAAATTGGTGAAGGTCATTTGCTTGATCAAACTTGGTAGCCCTTCACCCCAGCATCTAACTGGCAAAATAGCATCAACCAAGCCTTTTGGTTATTGAGAAGTTGTTTAAATGTTTTAAACATATTTGACCTTTGACCTTTGAACTTGGTAGCCCTTCATCCATGCATAACTACAGGCCCAATATCAGTACCCTGGGCCTTTTGGTTACTGAGAAGAAGACGTTTGAAGGTTTTAAACATATTTGACCCCTGTGACCTTGAAAATACATGAAGGTCATTTGTTTGAACAAACTTGGTAGCTAGCTCTTCATCCCAGCATGTTACTGGCCAAATATCATTATCCTAGGCTCCTTGGTTATTCAGAAGACGCCGGATGGACGCCGGACGCCGCAGCACGGCATAAGCTCACTTGGCCCTTCTCTTTTTTATACTTGTCAATGCATATATTTAGACACTTTATGAAAACATATGAAAAAGGATATTCGTCTCGTGTATATTCCTTTTTACAGAAAGGTTTGTCCCAGGGTTGAGGGAAAGTGTTTAGCCCTGTACCCATTTGTACTGGTCACATTCCGGTAATACATATTTCCTGGTGTATATATATATATATATATAAATAATGCAGAGATTTAAATTTTGAATATTGGCATGTATGCAATTAACCTCTGATGATGAATAATTACTGCTAAAGGAATTCAATAAGTTTCAACACAGACTTAGAAATTGTATTCCTTGGTTTCATAGTGTGGTGGAGTTGCAGTTGCCTGACAGCCCTCTCTGACTCTGGGAGCCCCTTTGGAAACTTTGCATCTCGGCAGACCACCTGTGTTTACTGCCTCGTTTCAAACTGCATGTGACACTATTGGCTCTTTTTTTAACAGGGCTTTCCCGAACAATTCAAGTGGTCAAACTGGACATTTGGAACGGACTATGAATGTGGGGAGACTAAGCAAGGTAACATACAAAATGTAAGTGGAAGTGCATACAAAACACATACATTCATTAAAAAAATATGGCTCTTCACGTGATGTCCCTTTAATAGTTATTTATTTGAGTATTGAAAGTACAGTAGCTTAATAACAGGTACAATTTTTAATGATGCATTGTACATACTACATGTGATCATGGACTAAGATAGCTCAGAGAAGTATAATAATGTATTATACGTCTCTGGGTAGCTTAGCTAATCTAATTCCGTGATGTGATGCTCTATCTTTTGTCTGTCTTGGGTCAACAAACACCTGTTACAGGTAGTCCGAGCAGGCGGTCCTGATGTATTACGTGAATGTACAGGTAAGATCGATCCAGTATAATATACGTATTCGTACTCTATCAGTACATCACCTCATTACTCGGGACTGTCACAGCTGAACTGCTGAACACCATACCATCAATAAAACTCATTCTAGGTACTGTACATGTTAAAAATTACATCTACAATGTTGAAGTGTGCTACAAGACAAATCGTGTTTCATTTTAGCAAAACACTCACCATACCTTGTCATTTTGTTTCCAAACTGAAAATCAGATGTGCTCGAAACATTCAATGTAAAAATTGTTATTCGATCAGAAGTGTCTGCTTTGTCATCATGCACGAGTATAAGCTCAGCCGTAAAACACCGACTGCTTGTTTTACTGGTATGGATTTATATAGTGTCAATACATATATATACTGTAGGCTTACAATATAAAATGATTTCCTTATAATAGAGGCAGTATGTACATGTACGCAATTCGCAATGGGTGAACAATCAAATGTAGTTAGTAACTGTTACCAGTTGACTAGTATAGGCCTACTAAACTTGTTGATCTTCCAGTAGGCCTAGCTGCAGTTACTTACCAAAACTTTTTCTCTGTTTAAAAGTCTTTGAGACACTTTCCGGCATATTTGTGTAGATCCCAAATCTTTCAACAAAGTCAAATTTCTACGACTCAACTGTATTGCTCAAATCCACATGTATATTTGACAACTCTCTGTCACTCTCATCGGAAGTTCAACAGCGCACTGAGTAATTTAGTGACGTCACAACTTGAGATTACTTCAATCCGCCACGCTGATTGGGTAAAAGTTTTTATGTCACATGACAAATTGTAAACACTACCACGTGTTTCCTGGGTTGACTGCTCAAGCAGTGACATTGTGTATGTTCGTGTGTCACTGTCAAATCGGCTCACGTAGGAAGCTATTCTTTTCATACCGAATAAAAAATACACAAAACTAGCATGTTTTGTTATGAACAGGTTTAATAGCACAATATCTACGTGTATATTAGATTACATGTAACGGTTATAGCTGCGAACAATTTAGTGGAAATGTTTACCTAGCTGGTAATAATTAAAATACAGGATATGATACGTCTCTGGTACTACTGGCTTTATATGTCTCGGACTCGACTAAAGTTCAGAACCATTTACATTCAGAAAGTACTTATTTTAAAAGCTTCCGTAGTTTCTCACATGGGTGGGGCAACATGATTCTGTTCGTGTCTTAATTAATCATTATACAGTCATCTATAGATGCACGAATACTGTACATATGTACTAGCTGATAAAACGTACCCCCCTCCCCCTCCTCCCCCATATACTTTCACAATGAAAATAAAAAGACATATATGACGTCATTGCATGCATAATCAAAGTAGTTAATTGTTGTGTGATAATCTATAGTCCATAATAAATATGAAACAAATATTAAGTTGTATATGCTAAATATCACATCAATATTTCTGGCAATCTGTATAAGCACGGAATTAGATTTCTAAGTCCATTTGTGCCTAATCCTCTGCTCAAATTTGGGGCAATATATATATGTTTAAATCAAAATCATAAGTTATGCTGTCAGAAAAAGTCCTATATAGCTGTGTGGCTTTTTTCGCCTTTTTTTGCGGGTTTACTGATGAACGAAGCCTTCTTAAAAATGTACGTGAATATTAGTTTACGTCGATGTTTAATTCCTTAATTCTTAATAAAAGAACAATGGGAATAATTTTGAAAATTTACTAACTAAAAAACTAATATAACCACGGAATTAGATTATCTAAGTCTGTGATATAACCTTTTAAACATTTTTAATCACCGGGCGAAGATACCCCTCATTTTTTCAAAGGAGTTAGTTTATTTAATTCGGACTCCTGATCCATAACGCATTTGTATTGCTTATCATTTCTAAGGCGTTATACATTAGATTATTTTTTGTTTTTTGTTTTAATTTGAAGTTTGTTCAACGTCTCCACACTTGCGGTACTTGTACGAGCCATAATTAGCGGTAATAGACAATCCGTCCAACGAAGCCCTCTATCAATATCGCTTTTTAACTAAAACCGAATCCAGGCAAACAAGCTGTCCGATAAAAAAATATTTATTAATCTAAATCTATCGATTTATGCTTTTAAAAACACAAGTACGAAATACCAAAAAATAATATCGTATTTTTAATCTCACCAATACTCTGTTTTTAGAAGGAATGATCACAGCTACAATAGTATAGACTGTGTCACGAGCAAGATAACCACATTACAAGGTAGAAATCCTCACGATACCTTTTATAATTCGACTTTATTTTTAGATCGGGATAAGAGTTGTTTACAGAACACCGACGTTAACTGGAAAAGAGGGTCAATATATACCGTAAATGTTTTCTATGTGAGGACTCTTCCGGACAATAAGTAGTAAAGTGTACAGGTGTAGAAATATGTGTGAGTATATGCCGTTTCGGGTATGCCTTTAAAAGAGAATTCCACTGTCAATCTTGGACCACTGAAACTATCAAAATCAGATAACAATCAATATACAATCACCTCAGTGTGGTCGGTAAACCTAGGTATTGATTGATTTATAGGACAACACAGAACTAAAATACCACTTGATGGGTCGTATGTATACAGTAAAAGCTTTTAATCCATACACCACTAATCTAGTTGTCACACTATCCAGGCACAACTAATCTAGTTGTCTCACAAACCAGGCACAACTAATCTAGTTGTCTCACAAACCAGGCACAACTCATCTAGTTGTCACACTATCCAGGCACAACTAATCTAGTTGTCACACTATCCAGGCACCACTAATCTAGTTGTCTCACTATCCAGGCACCACTAATCTTGTTGTCTCACTATTCAGACACCACTAACCAGTTGTCACACTATCCAGGCACCACTAGTCTGGTTGTCTTACTATTCAGGCACCACTAATCTAGTTGTCTCACTATCCAGGCACAACTAATATAGTTGTCTCACAATCCAAGCACAACTAGTCTAGTTGTCTAACAATCCAGGTACCACTTACACTTTTCTAGTTGTCTCTCTAACCATGCACCACTAATCTAGTTGTCTCACTATTCAGGTACCACTATTCTGGTTGTTTCAATATCCAGGCACCACTAGTCTAGTTGTCTCTCTAACCACGCAGCACTAATCTAGTTGTCTCACTATCCAGGTACCACTAATCTGGTTGTTTCAATATCCAGGCACCACTAGTCTAGTTGTCTCTCTAACCACGCAGCACTAATCTAGTTGTCTCACTATTAGACACCACTAATCTGGTTGTCTCACTATGAGACACCACTAATCTGGTTATCTCACTATTAGACACCACTAATCTAGTTGTCTCACTAACCAGGTACCACTAACACTTTTCTAGTTGTCTCTCTAACTATGTACCACTAATCTAGTTGTCACACTATCCAAGGACAACTAATCTAGTTGTCTCACTAACCAGACACAACTAATCTAGTTGTCTCACAATCCAGGCACAACTAGTCTAGTTGTCTAACAATCCAGGCACCACTAGTCTAGTTGTCTCACTAACCAGGTACCACTAACACTTTTCTAGTTGTATCTCTAACAATGCACCACTAATCTAGTTGTATCACTATTAGACACCATTAATCTGGTTGTCTTACTATCCAGCCACAAGGCAGGCACAACTAATCTAGTTGACACACTATCCAAGGACAACTAATCTAGTTGACACACTATCCAAGGACAACTAATCTAGTTGACACACTATCCAAGGACAACTAATCTAGTTGACACACTATCCAAGGACAACTAATCTAGTTGACACACTATCCAAGGACAACTAATCTAGTTGTCACACTAACCAGGCACAACTCATCTAGTTATCACACTATCCAGGCACAACTCATCTAGTTGTCTCACAATCCAAGCACAACTAGTCTAGTTGTCTCTCTAACCATGCTCCACTAATCTAGTTGCCTCACTATCCAGGCACCACTAAACGAGTTGGCTCACTATTAGACCCCACTAATCTAGTTGTATCACTATTAGACACCCCTAATCTAGTTGTCTAACTATTAGACACCACTAAAGTCTAGTTGTCTCACTATTCAGATGCCACTAATCTGGTTGTCTTATTATCCAGCCACAAGGCAGGCACAACTAATCTAGTTGACACACTATCCAAGGACAACTAATCTAGTTGACACACTATCCAAGGACAACTAATCTAGTTGTCCCACTATTAGACAACACTTATCTGGTTGTCTCACTTTCCAAGCACCACTAATCTGGTTATCTTACTATTAGACAACACTTATCTGGTTGTCGCACTATTCAGTCACCACTCATCTGGTTGTCTCACTATGAGACTGCACTCATCTGGTTGTCTCACCATTCAGTCACCACTCATCTGGTTGTCTCACTTTCCAAGCACCACTAATCTGGTTCTCTCACTATTAAACACCACTAATCTGGTTATCTTACTATTAGACACCACTTATCTAGTTGTCTCACTATAAGATACCACTAATCTGGTTATCTTACTATTAGACACCACTAGTCTAGTTGTCTCTCTAACCACGCAGCACTAATCTAGTTGTCACACTCTCCAAGGACAACTAATCTAGTTGTCCCACTATTAGACACCATTAATCTGGTTGTCTTACTACCCAGCCCCAAGGTATCTAGTTGCCTCACTACCCAGCCACAAGGTATTCCAGGCACCACTAATCGGACAACTAATCTAGTTGACACACTATCCAAGGACAACTAATCTAGTTGTCCCACTATTAGACAACACTTATCTGGTTGTCGCACTATTCAGTCACCACTCATCTGGTTGTCTCACCATTCAGTCACCACTCATCTGGTTGTCTCACCATTCAGTCACCACTCATCTGGTTGTCTCACCATTCAGTCACCACTCATCTGGTTGTCTCACCATTCAGTCACCACTCATCTGGTTGTCTCACCATTCAGTCACCACTCATCTGGTTGTCTCACTATTAAAAACCACTAATCTGGTTTTCTCACTATCCAGGCACAACTAATATAGTTGTCTCACTATTAGACACCACTAATCTGGTTGTCTTACTATCCAGGCGTCACAAGTCTATTAGTCTTACTATCCAGGCGCCACTAATCTGTTTGTCTCAAAATCCAGACACCACTAATCTGGTTTTCTCACTATTCAGGCACAAGGTATCTGGTTGTCTTACCTTCTAGGCGCCACTAATCTGGTTTTCTCACTATCCAGGCGCCATTAATCTGGTTTTCTTACTATCCAGGCGCCACTATTCTGGTTTTCTCACTATCCAGGCCCCACTAATCTGGTTTTCTTACTATCCAGGCCCCACTAATCTGATTTTCTCACTTTCCAGGCCCCACTAATCTGGTTTTCTCGCTATTCAGGCACAAGGTATCTGGTTTCTCTCTTTCCAGCCACAAGGTATCTGGTTGTCTCACTATCCAGCCATAAGGCATCGGATTGTCTCATTAACCAGCCACCAGTAATCTGGTTGTCTTACTATCCAGCCACAAGGTATCTAGTTGTCTCACTATCCAGCCACAAGGTATCGGATTGTCTCATTATCCAGCCACAAGGTATCTGGTTGTCTTACTATCCAGCCACAAGGTATCTAGTTGTTTCACTATCCAGCCATAAGGTATCGGATTGTCTCATTAACCAGCCACCAGTAATCTGGTTGTCTTACTATCCAGCCACAAGGTATCTGGTTGTCTTACTATCCATGCACCAGTAATCTGGTTGTCTTACTATCCATGCACCAGTAATCTGGTGGTCTCACTATCCAGCCACAAGGTATCTGGCTGTCTCATTATCCAGTTGTCTCACCGTGCAATCAGATTTGCAGCCTTCTCACAACCCAGCCACTTTTTCATGGAAACAAGTTAGCTTGATTATTTTGGCTTCACCACATCATACATTGTTGCAAAATTATGTTTGACAACAATGATTTATCTGTATAATAAAATCATTCATCGATGAAAATGTGATGTTTTTCATTGTAATCCACTACCAAAGGATGACTATGAAACTAGTCGTGAGGAATCTCTGGTGACCCACTATCTAGTGAAAATTTCATAATTGTATTTTGCTAATAACATTAACATTTCAAATCTTCAACTTTATTCAAAGAACAAATAAATGTATAGCATTACCTAAATTAATGAGAAAAATAACAGCCTAATCAGGGATCAAGGTAGGTGGAGGTGGCAACACATTCCCCTTAGATATAGACCTTGCACACTAACCGCCCTGTAAAATTTCAATAGAGGAGGGCTGTAAACAAAACATCCACAAGGTTGTTACTTTTCTATAGTATCCCAATTTTTTATTTGCATGAGCTTTATTTTCTAGCCTTCATAAAAACCTGAATCTACTCCATACAAATATATTATACCACTATTACAACCAAATGTTAACAAAAGGTACTTGACTTTCTAAACATAACTAGAAATAAATAAAAGGTATAAAAATTTAGAATCAAAATGTGTATCACCCAATGTTCCATTTCATATGCAGTCTAAGGGAGATAATTCACCCAACTACAGCATGATCGTTTTTTGCATTTTACTGCAGTGTACCGCCTTTGGGTTTGCACATTTTGATTATTATTTTTGGGCATTACAGCAATTGGTATGTAAAATCAATGTACCACACGCGCTTCTGTTTTATAGAAAACATACTTTATCAAATGAAAATAGGAGTTTGTTTGGGATTTCCTGTTCAGGGAGTAATGCTGTATTTGATACTGTCTGTACATTTGTAAACTATATCAATATTTAAACTGAACTTTGCCTGACAATATATGCATATGGATAATCTATTAGCAGATATTACTCACTACCTGCGGTAGACATTATTGAGAATTCACACTTTATTTATTATATATAGTTTATTGAGTTTTTATCTATTCCCCAAATATTGTATCGAATCTGGAGAATTCCAACCCTAAATCATTTTATGTAATGTGTAAACATTTAAAAAAAACACAGATGTAAGGAATACTTTTTAATTGAAAATGATACATCAGTGCAAACCGATGAAAATAATGCACCAAATATTAACCTGTATTAAGCTTTTCTGTGTGTTATAATCATTACTTGGTACAGTATAACAATCCACAAGTTTTTATGTTTTAATCCCAGATGTCATTCGACTGTGAGTGACGTGGAGTTCATTTTGTAATATGTATTTGCATACAACGTAAGATTCACAATATAAATGAATGTCTGCAGATTGCATCTCAGTGCAATTAAATGTGATGACTGCCTAGTACAAGTAGTACAAGTTGTAAACAACTTTCAACATTCTCTCTCTCTTACACACACACAAACATCGATATACACAACGCAAATGTCTAGTCAAGTCATTCCTATTCCTTGGTGTGGGTTCCAGACTTTTAAAGGAGAATGCAATGCATTTTAAAATGCCCTTGTCTCATAAAATTTTATCATTCCACACAGAAATCGGAGTTTGAATAGTCTCCATCAGACTGACAGAAACACTGGTACACTGTAAAATACTCTGTCACCATAGGTATCCATTAGCTGCTCGTTACAGAGATTTTGTTGAGTACTCGCAGGGCAGAAAGCAAGTGCTATGGGCCCTGGTGTTGTAAAGTAGGACTAGGAATCTGCTACCTGCATTAAAGTATGTACCATCACAACACTGTGTTGAACACATTTTAATGATTTTTATAATATTAATATTTCTCCTACAACATGTTCACTATACAATCATTTCTAGTTCTCGTGCATATTCTATCGTCTGTTCTGCAAGCTGCATGGCCGGTATGGATTCATCTGTGTCTTTCTGTTCAAATACAGAAAAGCGGAAGAAGTTGTCTGAGGAGACTGTCCAACCTCTCTGAAAACAGAAAATCATGAGAAATATAGGAGGTAAACGTGATAAAAAGTTAACCAAAATATCCTGATTCCAGTATTCCGTCTTTGCGTATTGCAGAGTTATCTGCTCTTGTGAGCAGGTATTGATTGTTACGTCATTGGTTTGTGAGAGTGACGCCATCAATCTTTGAGAAAACGACGTAATTTTCTCACACAAACCAATGACGTAACAATCAACTGGAAGTACAGAAAACCATGATATATGTCCCTCGTTCCATTTGCTACCTCTCTTACCTTCAACACCCATTTATCCTCCTTAACACTTGATTTATGGTTCCCTCTTTGAACATTTATTCATTGCCTTCCCTCATAATGCTAAAATTTTAGTACAGAACCTAAGAAAAATATGGTAGAGGTATAACAAGGTTTAGATATAATGACATATCGTTAATTTAAAGGTTTTTGTTAACCCCCATTGCTGATAGAATTGGGTCTGTGTATGGCAGTGTAGCATATCTAAGTTTAAAAGTATGCATACAATTGTACTAGCTTAGACCTTGAGTTGTATTACTTACCTAAAATATATTTCTGCTCAAATACTTTTTATTTTTGGTGAGATATACAGAGCATTTTCTACATTCAATTTCAAATAAATTTGCATTCTTAGAAAAGTTGCTGAAAGTTAATGAATTGCAGCAAAAAGTCAGTAAATTCAAAAGGAACTCATAAGATTGAAAAGTAAGCATGGCATACAAACTGAGCAGTTAATATGTCAAGATTAATTAAAGCGGTATCCCCTGGAAAAGTTTATTACCATTTTATAATGAACTAAGAAGAAAACTGAACAAAGTAAGCAGTTAGCTGTAACATCTCCCATGGGAAATAACCCATGTCTTGGTTAGGTTACGTCTCTTGCAACTCTCCAACAAATGGACCTGGCAATAGATCCAGTAATAACTTGTGGCTCTTGGAAAATGAGCCATAAATCACAGGGTATTTGCAAAATCGAGTAGTTCCACGAAGTGTGGAATATACCGTATTAGGTATGTATAGATAAACTCACCTTCACAGCATACTCTCTCATGGGTTTTTGCGACTCAAAAAACAGCATTCTAGCAGCTTCTCCCAAAGCTATCCTCTCATAGGCCTTTTCTATACAACTGGCTATTTCGTTTCTACAAAGCGACAGAAGGCAATGTATGAAAATAACAAATATAGAATATACATGCTGCTAAGAACATATGCATGATGATGAGTAAAAAACATGGACCATAATGTAAAGATCTTGGTTTTAACTCATTCACCCCTGAAATTTCATAATGAACTATTCCAACCTTTGAATTGGAAGAGTTCAAACGTGTCTTCAGGGGTGAATGAGTTAAGGGGAACTTCTGTCAATAAGTACTACAGTATGTTCACCTACACTTAATACAACTAAAATGACTGAAGTGAAGGACTGGTAATTTTAACTTTCATCCCTTTTGCCCTCCATAATGAGGGAATATTTATTGTTACAGCGAATGTGAGTAAACAATATTATATACATATCAATTAAATGTGAAGGTTGAAATTAATACTAGGCTAATATGGATTTTATCATCAAAATGCAAAAGTTTCCTGCTATACATTACATGTATCTACTGACAGATTATCGTGTGATCATATTCGCAAAGTGGTTATTTTCAGAAATTTTCTATCATAAATCAAAATGTTATCAGGTAACCTGGACGCTTTAAGTACAATTCTGATTAGGAGAAAAGTAATCATAATTTATACAAGGAACAGGTGCATACCTGATGGTGTTCAATAAAATGTCTATGAAGAATGTGTAATTTTCTGCTGGTACATTTCCTTTGGCTAAAAATACCTAGAAAAAAATACATTCAATGACATCAATCTCTGTTAAGTTTATATCTGGATAACTGATACTTTGGTATCCACACATTTATATTGTATACAGCTGCTATTTATGCTAGATGTTAGAGATTAATTTTGGTTATTTGATTGTATGGAAGGGACTTCAAAAGAGAAAATATTTTATGGTTGACTTGTATAATATACATTCTGTATTAAAATTGTGCTATGGGTTAAGGAGGCATCCGGGCCAACAAGAGTGATTAATATAAGTTCTTGTTTCATGATTGTTTTAAAATAAACAAAGTTCATACATAAATTGTGTACTATATAAGACCCATTAGACCTAAGAAAGTACCTTATTGTAGCAGCCCTCCATCAGATACTGTTCCATAGACACTGGATGTTTGATATAGATGTTGTTCTGTAGTTCCTTCACCGGTAAAAGCTCAAGCTCCTACAAAACAAACAGTCACAATGTACTAACTATGTACCAGGATGACAAATGTGTTGTAGGTTGATGTTTTGTCATTTGTACAATCAATATCTGGTAGTAACATTTATTCACGATATTGATTTGATTGTAGTTACTTCAAATCAATTAAAAATTTGAAGTCTTCAAGCAAAACCAATTCACTATTAATGCTATAAAATTTTCTGCACCTTTTCTCGGAATCAAAGTTACAGTCATACTTTTTAAAGATCTGTTTTTCATCTTTACTTGATGCTAGGAAACTTAATATAATTACCCTCATTGCAATATTGTCTCTCGAAGTGAAGTGAATGATACATTGTAATTTTTAGCAATTCCTTTTCACAGTAAAGTTACCCTTGCTATATTACCACTCTTTGTTATGACACAGACATTCCACAGCAGGAATGCTTTTAACAATACAATAAGTTTGGAATTAAATCTATGTTTTTAACATTATTATCAACTTACAGTGTGGAATTCTGCCAACCTGTTCTGAGCCAGTAGACAGAGGAGGTTGAGGCCTAGCAACTGGTATTTATAAGTGGACTCTGGCAGGTTGTCCCTGTAATGGGTGACCAGCAGCAGATATTAACGGTCAAACAACTTACTTCTATGTTTTTGTAGACACTTATTTATGGTCACTCAAAATCAATCACAAAATTATTGCTTCCTAGTAATTTTTCATTGATAAGACCTACTGCCAAATTGACAGTAAAAAATACATATACAGTAAATTAACAGGATAAATGTATATTATATATTGTATCCATGTAGTTTTTTTCTAATTTCATTTAATTGTTGATCCGTCAATGCTCATACAAATAAAGCATTTTAAAACTGACGATAAAGTAAACTGTCTAAACCACAACTACTTCATTTACTTTTCAGTGAAGTTGAAAACTGTTTAAATTTTGAATGGCTATCTGTAATATTTTAAAACAAGAAGTTTGCACAGCATCACCACTTAACATGTATAGAGTAATTCAGTCTTACTTGTAGTCCATGTAGTAACATTTAAGTTGTGCCATATATCTTTCAAAAGCAGGTATGTCATGTTTACAGATGGCCCATTGTGCTCCAATCTCTAATATATCACCTGAAAAGAAAAACAGATATCACATCAAACTGATATCATGCATAAACACAATTTATCACCCTAGTAACTGTTATTTGAAAACCTGTACAACAGATACCTTTAACGTTTGGGTACCTGTGTGTTCTGTGTATTTCAGCAGGGTTCGGTCAAGACAATTTTCAGTTTTGTTGTTTAATGACAATTTACCGGTATTGTATTTTAAACTTTTCTAAGCTATACAGGCTGTATATGAAATAATGGCTTGTGGTATTTGATGACAGGATGCATGCATGAATTGTAATAGAAGTACGGGTACTGGCCGTAACTCATTATAGGCTAGAAAAATGAACTGTACCTACACAAGTTTTCATATGGTTCTAAAGAATTATCATATAGAGCCAAATCTATAAGAAAAGTTGTAAAGTGAACACTTCATACATACGTGCAACAAGTAGTTCCTGTTTGGTGGGTGAGGAATCATCTGTAGGGAGGAACATCACACCAGTCAGGGCAACCTGTAGATCAGAAAACAGCAGAATAACTACCTTTGAACAGTTCAATGATAGGGAATGGGCAATAGGTCAGACTCAGATTCAAACCACTGAAACCAGAGACATTCAGAATTAGAACAGAACCTAGGCCTCTACCATCTGATCACGACCTACACCATGTATTGCTTTTTCAACATACACTGTAAGCATTAACTTTTCCTTTTTAATATAAAGTAAATGCTGAACATCTGATCACAATCAACAATTCATTATCCTGACATGATCCTACTTACAATGACTAATACCATTTACAGGTAAAGTTCAACTATTTCCTCAAAGGCTCACCAAGTGAATGAATGTATCATATCGAGGGGGAGGGGGGATTCAACGAGTATTTCTCACACACCTGGCAAGATAATTGACAAAGGACAAGAAAACAATAATACATTAGACTTGGCCACAATTTCTCAAAAATAACAAGAGGCCCATGGGCCTTAACGGTCACCTGATATATTTATACAGAGAGTTGATTTGGTTTTTAACATGAAGAGAAATATTATTCAAAATGACAAAAAAACAATAAAACCACCTTATTCAATATCTAGCATACAGATTTAAGACTAAAAAGTATTTGAAACTAGCACCTCCGATTCTAAACAAGGAAAATGAAGAAATTTGAGCACACTGACTCCTTTGGGCCCCACCCTACAGCCCTTGGGGTAGGGCTGGCTCAAAATTTTCAAAGTATCAAACTGTCAACTCAGGGTTATAATTGTAACCATGTAATATTCAAAGTATCATTTGCCATTATAAACCATGATAAATTTTGCCCCCCTCCTCCTTCCCCAGGGGGTAAACGTGAGACCCTAGGGTCATAAACCTTAAGACCCTTCCATCTATGAAGAGTATTGATTCTACCATATCTGGGTCTTGAGAAGAAGATTTTTGAAATTTCAGTCTTTTCGACCCTTTTTGGCCTCACCCATCAGCCCCTGGGGGTCAGCCAGGGCTGATATGTGCATACCATCAATCTGCTACCCAATACTGATAATGATAACCCAAATTGAATTATTTCCAATGGAAATTTAACAAATGTTAGTCCAAAATGTGATTTCCCTATATAAACTATAGTAAAGTTTCCCCCCTCCCCAGGGGAAAACGTGAGACCTGTGGGGAAAGAAATTCACAATTTTGGTAAAGCACCTTAAGACCCTCCCATCTATGATGTGTATTTGATTCTACCATATCTGGGTCATGAGAAGAAGATTTTTGAAATTTCAGTCAATTCAACCCTTTTTGGCCCCACCCATCAGCCCCAGGGGGTCAGTCAGGGCTGATATGTGCATACCATCAATCTGCTACCCAATACTGATAATGATAACCCAAATTGAATTATTTCCAATGGAAATTTAACAAATGTTAGTCCAAAATGTGATTTTTTCCCCTATATAAACTATAGTAAAGTTTACCCCCTCCCCAGGGGAAAACGTGAGACCTGTGGGTAAAGAAATTCACAATTTTGGTAAAGCACCTTTAATTAAGACCCTTCCATCTATGAAGAGTATTTGATTCTACCATATCTGGGTCTTTAGAAGAAGATTTTTGAAATTTTAGTCAATTTGACCCTTTTTGGCCCCGCTCTTCAATGCCGGGGACCAAACCAGCCACTATTTGTTGACCTTTGGCCATGGAAGGTTTCTGCAAAATTTCATTGAAATTGGTTCAGGGGTTTTGGAGAAGAAGTCAAAAATGTAAATTGTTTACGGACGGACGACGCCAGACAAAAGGCGATCGCAATAGGTCACTTGAGACTTTGTCTCAGGTGACCTAAAAAGCTTAAGTTTAGGTTTTCTTTTTTTCTTGTACTTTCACAGATAAAAAATAGAATCTGATAACTTTACTACTCTTTTCTTTCATAAATATCCTTTTAAAGTCAGGGCTGCATGGGATTTTTTGTGAGCCCCAGATGTTGGGCTAGCAATTACCACTATATGTACACTAGCACTTTTCCAACTGAAATCGCTTTAACAAATATATAAGGACCAAACTATTTTTCAATGAAGCTTTAGTATAATTAGGTTTGAAATTCCCTTGTTTTTCTGAGATGGTCTTGAAAAACAGCAATATACACCCAGGTCTTATCTACGGAGACAAAAAGTCTCTGTAAACAGGGATAAACTGGAACAGATGTACATATGTTAAATGTTGCTGTTAAAACATTTAACAATGTTACAAAAAGTCGCATCTTCCTGCAAGCAGAGTCATCATTGCCATTTTATTCATTCATGTGTAATTATTTTTGAAATATACAGCAGCATATATCTGAAATAGAGCACAGAACATCAAACACTTCAGTATTCTTTGTCGATACACTCAGAATACACTTGACTGAATTTTTTAGAAGGCTTCTGAATAATGCATATGCCACAGTTTACTGAAATATCTTTGTCAAGTAAGCAGAAAAAAAGCATGTCTTCTTCAAATATTTTTTAACACAAACAAACCTTTATAAGTATTATTTAATAATTTTGTGTATGATTTATAATATAAGGATGTTCATTTGAAAGGTAGTCCAACACCCACTACTTACTACAAAGTTTTTAAAAATGCCTGTGAACAATTTCATTGTGCCAATTTGATATAAATGAAAGCCAAATTTGAAAACTGATCTGAAAATAATTCTTATCATGTCTCACATTGTAGAAAGAATAAATATCTTGCTACACTCACTCTTGACAATAATACCTATTTTAATCTACGACAAAGCATCCATTACGTATTAAATCGTTAACATTACCAACTGAGAAATAATCATTATTCTAACGTATTGTGTTGTATTCATTCATTCTAATTTTACTTGGCATCATATAGAAGCACTCGTTAAAAAAGGCTAGTGACAGTGCACATTTGAAAAGCAACAAAGCCGGCATACACTTCCAAACATAAATCCGTCAGATAATTCACTAAATTATATTCAAAGATAAAGCTGAAACCTTCAGTTTAGCCAGCAACTCTCCACAACGGTCTAAGTTTGGGGGCTTCTTGTCCCATTCTCTCTTTAAACTTTGGTACATCATAACAATTTCTTTTAGGGAAGACATGTTGTCTATCGGTCCGAAGGAAATTGCTTAACTATTTCTGATTGGTTAAAATTCCTTGCGACGAAAGTTATACTTCCGGCGCACTTGTGCTTATCGACTATATTTGTCTTTTAAGAGGCGATTTGTATGTATACCGTTGCCAAACTGAATTGCTGAATTGCTGATGTGGCATCGTTGAAAGCTAGTTCAAGCTTGTGGTGATGCATCATTGTTATTTCGTTCACTCGCAACTTACTTGTAACAGTGAGCCCACCCCCACCCCGGCACCACTTCAGCTTTGTTTAATTATTTCTGAAACTAGAAAAATGCATAATACAGAACTTCGTTTTAAAAACCCTGTTAAAAGTGTAAAATTCATGTAGCGAGAGGGTGTCGTGCAGTCGTGTTCCTGTTATCCATGTAGTTATATACCTATATATCTCTTCGTCGACACCGTTGTTATAGCTTGAAGTAGCTGTGATTGATATTTAAGTAGATGTAATAAATAAACTGTTGTAAATAAATTCTAAAATTAATATACAATTTGTTCATGTCTATCTTTTTTAAATTGTAATTTATTCCATGTTTACATGCATAAATAACTTCTTTTTTTCCCTCTCAAGTACTAGTCATGTCTTATTCATTGCTATGGCGTATTTTGCAAATGTACGAGTTACTTCCCTTGAAATTGACTTCTGAATCGCGAAGAAATATTTTTTCGATTTTCTAACAAAATAAACATTTTTTAAGAATGAAACTTTACCACAACCTGTTCATTGCATACACCAAAGGAGAAACACAGCTATTTGCTGAAAATAATTCTTATATTTTGCTATGGCGTGTAAAAACACGTATGGCGCAAATTAGTGTAAAAGTGCTTCGTAAATCAAGATCGATTTTCTAACAAAGTACACATTTTTTTAAATGATACTTTACCAAAACATGTTAAATGAGTATACCAATGGAAAAATCGAAATATTTCGTGGATAAAACATTTACATTTTGCTATGGCGTGCAAAAACTCCTATGGCGCAACTATGGCGCTAAATCTCCTATGGCGCAAATTAGTGAGACCCCTGATACAGTTCTGGGGGAAAATGAATTTCGATATTTGTCCGAATTAGTAGAAATTTGTTGGAGTTTGTGGGCTCCCCTAGAACGGCGGTCTGACACTTTAACATGATCATTAGGGGAGATGGCTACTTTGTCATTTAAGATTTTGTACATCATTGTAACTCTTGCTTTTGCTTGTCTCTGTGCCAGTGGTTCCCAGTTCAGTGATTGTACCATGCTGGTGACACGTCCAGGTTCACGGGTCCTGTAGTTGTTATATACCTAAGTTGGACGGTTTCCAACAGTACAATCTTTTCTGTGGTGTTATGGGTCCCAACATGTAGAGGCATACTCGATAGTCGGTCTCATTAGAGTGGTATACGTTTGTGATTTGACTTTCCTGGAGCATGATGACATATTGCGTCTCAGGAAGCCCAGTGTTTTGTAAGCTTTACTTACAGTGGAGTGGATGTGTTTACCCCAACTGAAGTCGTCCATTAGAGTAACCCCCAAGTACTTGAATTGCTAGCTGGTAGGCTATCAAGGCGAAGCAGCGTGTTATGAAGCTGGTAACCGAACTAAACTGGGACTTTATTTTTGGTTACATTGATTATACAACATTTGCTGGCATTGAAGTTCATTTGCCAGTCAGTCTCCCATTGTTCTAGCCTAGCAAGGTCTGCCTGGAGTTGTTTGCAGTCGTCCTCAGACATTATCTCCTTATAGAGTAGACAATCGTCTGCAAACAGTACTAGTTTGACCTTGCAGGAGACTGACCAATCAATGTCAACTATATCATCACCGAAGTTTAAAACTGTTGGGGAGGGGTGCTTCGACAATGTAATACACAACTTGAATAATTAATAATTAAAAACTCAATTCAGGTTGTTATGACTTTATAAACCATAAAAAATGTATGCACATTAGGCCCTAAGGTTACAGTGCGCATAGCAAACGGAGATTGGGGGAGGGGGTGTCACACGATAGATGCAATATACTATTTGGAGTTTGGAGAGTGTTTACTGGGATGGCTGATCAAAATTCATCCTCAATAATTCTTAAGAATACTGACCAACATAAACATTTTTAAGATTATTGTCAGAGGGGATTTAGATGGAGCGATTTTTAGAATACATTTTGTACTTAGTAAGTTTTTGCAAAGTGACGGTAGAGGCTTCTGTTGTAAGACTAGATACAATTTTTTTTTTATGATCGCTTAAATCGTCATTGTCACCATTTTCAATTATAACAAGTTCTTTTTTTATTGTACAACTTTATAATGTTCAATATGATGAAAATAGTAGGCAATAAAGTGGAAAATGATACATTATTGGTATTTTTACATATTAAGTGTAACCAAGGCACTTTAGATTCTGACCCCGAAAAAGGTGAAAAACAACAGAAATAATAACCGGACGAAAAAGAAGCACACGTACGAAATATATTCATATCAGAAAAAAAAGTCTTATACTAGAATCCTTAACGGTTACTCAAGCCTCAGAGGCTAAACTAGGCGATAACAAAAACCGGAAGTTGATAATAAAAGTTGCTTTCGTTATTACCGGCCGGTGATGCAAGGAAAGTCCTAGGAACGTGCTGACAACATGCAAAACGACATTCTTGATTCATTGGAAGATTTACGGTTGTTATTTTATTCTTGACTTACCTTTATCCATATGTTATACATTTTATGGTAATTGCATGCAATAACATCGATAACTTATGTAATTTATATAAACCAGTAAATGGTGACAACTGTGTGGCAGCTGTAACACGACTGATGCTGATGATGTCTTTATTCTCAGTAACTGTTTACTGTCAATAGACAGAATCAATGTACCAATGGTATCGACGATGAATCAACGTCACTCCCTGAACACCTGTAAATTAATTTTGAAAGCAGTAAACCAATTTTGCTACTAAAGTTTTACCAGTTTGAATCTATACTATAATACTGTAGTGTACATGTAGGCATGTTATTTTAACCAATTAGGTACATGTACCTACACCATTAAATGTACCTAATCAATATATTCAGTATTCTAATGTCTTGGAACTGGATGGAGAAAGGATAAGAATACGCATCTCCAAGAAATATCAAGCTACTTATTTCATTTTTTTAGGGGAAACCTTTTCATCTCGTGAGATTTTGCGATATATTGGACAGACAAGAAATGAATCATTGACAAAAAAGTCATGAACAATTTTGAAAAAGAGTTACTTATTTCTGAGACTAAATCTATACGTATTGAAAAAAATACAACTGCATATATGCAGTTTACTTGTACATGTACAAGTCATTGTTTTGGCCTGCCATCAATGTTATGTACAGTTGTATCTATTAATAAACTGTGTTTCAACTAATTATCCTGGTCATGTATAATGCCACAGGTATGATGGCCCATTGCTGGAAGAACAGGCATTCAGTGATGCTCTGGATGCAGGACCTGCCTCTGTGGAGTACACAAAATTGGTCGCCTGGCTGACGGCAGAACTCCGCGACTTCTGTGGCCTAGAGGAATGTGCTAATGCTATCAACAGTAAGCAGACTTTGAGTTGAATGATTCTACTGTACCAACACGGCAATCAGATATTGTAAGGTGTTTGATGTGTAGAACAAGACTTGGTGATGAATGTTCTTATAGACATGATCCATTATAAATCAGTCACACTTTGGACATCATTACTCATTAATTGACAGTGCAATGTTGTAGATTATCTGTTGTTTCACAGTTTGTGCAATCAATAAATATTTTTCGAATTTTGTTCATCTTCTTCACGTACCTGTATTGTATTGAAGATGATAATTGTTCAATAATTAACAAACACAATGCTTCATGTAATTAATTAAATAATATTGGATAAATTCAGCAATTTCTGAAACACGATTCGCCAAGATGTGTATATACATGAGAAATAAATTCAGCATATTAAATCAATGTTCATAGTTTGAGAAACAGCAGCTTAATATTCAACTTATGAATTAACTGTAATTGTAGTGTTACAAAGCTCTCTGCCAATAGCAGTATTTTTCTCTGGGCGATTCACTTATAAAACAGCATACCATAGTTTCATTCCATATGTAATATAATTAACAATTGAGGGACTTTTACTTCAAAAAATTGTTGTTCTATAGGCTTGAAAAATGATAATAATGAAAGATACAGTTAAGTTGAACAGCACTTAAAGTTAGTGGGCATTCACACCTCTATAGATATGCATATATATTGGCACTACTGTAAGTTCTCGTAAAATCTAACCTTCATGTTTTTATTTTGAAGATCCTGATGAAGCCTCCAACTTTATTATGGAACTTGGAAGTTGTCTCCGAGAATTGAGTAAGTTATGTCCTTTAAATCACTGTTCATGATAAAGCGACTGCAGTTTGATTGTTATCATATATACTACATTCCAAAAATTATTTATTACAGGGTTTTCAGTTGATCCTTGACATATAGCAATATCAGAAGTTGAATAATAGTTTCCTTAAATTTTGGAGGGTCAAAACACATGTCAAATGGACATGTCCTTCTAAACATAAGTCAAAGCTCATCTTGGGGAGTCAAAAAGATACTCTCAGCAGTCTACTGAAAGCCCTCCATTTTACCAATAAATAATGATAAAAAAATGAAAATATTATATTCAATTATAGGAATGACATTGTACAGGGTATTACACACATATAATCCTAACAGCTTGCCCCACAATAATAATTCATTGATAAGTAAATGAAAAGATTTCTTTTTGAATTATTATATTATTGCATTCATTTACAAAGTCAAACTGTCACAACATTTTCGATAAAATTTATGTCTTTGATGGTTATTAGTCGACTGTTTAAGAAGCTACAAAGACATCCTCGAGTTTGTATGAGAAACATAGATGATTAGTCCCATCTATATATACTTACTTGTATCTGTAGATTGTCCATATAAAGAACTGTTTGAGGGAACACAAGTCTCGGACAGACTGAACACAAGGAAAAGTCGCCTACAACTCCTTGGTAAGGATCTTTGCCTTGTACATGTACAGTGTAAAAGGGAAAATAAATTTGAAGTAGGAAGATATTTCTGTACATAATACAATTTTGAATTGAAGATAACTTTTGAAAAATTCTCCATTTGATATATTATTCTTGTATCTTGATTTGATGACCATTTAAAATCTAAGTGACCAGGCTGTTATACATAAAGTGAACACCAATATATTTCCCTATATAGTGTACTTAATTCGAAGATGAACTTGTTTCAAGTTGACATGGTGTTAAATATAACAAGGTGTTTTTTTACTTGGTAATATCATTGATAATGTCTGAATAATTACCTAAATGTAAGTGTTCAATTATAAAAAGTGAATTGCATTCATAAGTAATGATGTAAGATTTCTACTACTAAGTTTGTATAATGTGCTTGAAAATGGAGGTTTACATATATTTAGTATATATGTATGGCACTCACCGTGATTGATTTTGTTTCAACTTTCTTTACACAGTTTTATCATATCAAAGTGGTTAGTTGTACAACAATAAGAAAATATAGTCAAGGGGAGGTGGCGGGAAATTTTTCAACTTGACTTTACCATCCTAGCTTATTGTGACCCACCGAGACCTCCCCTTGTCTGTGTTTACATTCTTTGGTGGGAAGTCCTACATATCTCTTGGTATCCACCACACTACAACACTAGTTCTCTCTTTGCTCAAAAATAAGAAAGTGATTTATTGCAACTCGACTTTTGTAACCTGTAGATTTACACCAGTTGATGCTTAAAGAAGTGACATTGCAGCACTTTTTATCTAGTTTCTCTTGCATTCGTAAAAATGTCTGTACATAGAAACATTTGTCTTTACATGTATTTGAATATTTAAAAGCAGTTTTCACAGTGCAGAATTACACACATTCACAAGATAAAGTGTTCAAGTTGATAAAGGAATACTACAAAGATTGTATAGGATCTTTACCAGCAAACCTGTTCATTTAAGAAGGGACATAAAGACTCAACTGTATGTATTACATCTGATTCTAAGTACTATGCTTAGTAAAGTGAAACTAAACACGTCCTGTATGTAAAGAAAATGGCAGAAGAACTGGTTAGTATATGACGTTTTAATTTTCAACCATTTTGTGTTCATATAGGTTACAAAGGGTAGTATATGGCATAAAACACTGGTTAATCAAAAGATGTGAACGTATTTTGCGATTCAGGTATATTTATACCCTGTAATGTTATTTTCAGATTACCTCACAACAGAGCTGGCCTCGGTGAGGATCATGGCATCAAAACACCCCGACCAGCTGAAGGCCATCAATACCACTGCTACCAATACCACTGCCACTACCAAGCCTGTAGAAATGGTAACTGAATGGGTGATATTATGCCTATAAAATGTTCAAAAAGCAGAAAGGAACACTCGTATAATGTTTGAAAAAGTAGAAAGGCTTAAAACGTCGATCATTTAATAAAACATATGTTTGTACAACTTTTGGGTACATACATGTATACATTACTGTAGATTTGTGACAATGGTTTGTTAGCTCACCTGCCCGGTGTCAACATTTTTCTTTGAACAACTTCTTCTCGACAACCAAAAGACCTAGGGTCATGATATTTGACCGGTCTAGAGTCATGATACTTGGGTATGTTATGTAGACCAGCTGTGGGAATCGTTTTCTTTATTACAGTAATGAGGTCAAAGGTTAACTTTAAGTGCTAGCTGGAGTCGAAGGTCAACATGGATTAAAAGCTTTAAAATTAAAATTCCACAAATTTCAAACAACAATGTCTTAAGAACCATTTAAGAGATGTTAAAATGTCTTGTGTTCTAGTAACCAAATTTGGTCTGAAGTTACCTATATGTCAGTTTCATGTAACAAAAGAAGCAGTTGAGCATACAGGCCCTCTGGGCCTCTTGTTATGTAAACATTTCTTAATGCTGTATTAAAGGTGTTGCCAAATATCGATATCATTAAAGACATTCTATAGTCAAACCAGGTTATTTTAAATGTCATTAAAGAGCCTAATAAAACATGAAAATAAACTTAATTATGTACAAGTAACCAATTATATCAACAGCAGAGATATTGAAGTTTATGATATGATATTTAACTGTGTAGACATAGAGACAACAATTGATCTTTGTATCTCATGTACAATGAGCACAAGTAAAACCATTGCAGAATTAGCAGTTTAATGTTTAGACCACTGTTTTGTAAGAATAAAATAGGAATAACAATGCCATACTCATAATCTTTCTATAGTCAATATTTATGATCAGTGTACTGAATTTATTGGCCTCCAGATCAAATTTCACAAACATGGTATCATTTTTTCACATTGTGGTGTAGGCAGAGACTGATGTGGCTAAGCACCTTCGTCTCCTGATGATAGGGCTGGAAATCTCCAAACCTCCTTCCAGCGTCACCTCATTCCAGCTCTTCAGTAAAGTGGAGGCTAAGGTAAGGATCAAAGATCTCCAAACCTCCCCCCAACGTCACCTCATTCCAGCTCTTCAGTAAAGTGGAGGCTAAGGTAAAGATCAAAGATCTCCAAACCTCCCCGCAACATCACCTCATTCCAGCTCTTCAGTAAAGTGGAGGCTAAGTTATGGTTAGAAGACCTCTAAGCCTCCCCCAAAGCCACCTCATTCCAGCTCTTCAGTAAAGTGGAGGTAAGGTTAGAAGATCTCCAAACCTCCCCCCAACATCACCTCATTCCAGCTCTTCAGTAAAGTGGAGGCTAAGGTAAGGATCAAAGATCTCCAAACCTCCTCCCAAAGGTCACCTAATTCCAGCTCTTCAGTAAAGTGGAGACTAAGGTAAGGATCAAAGATCTCCAAACCTCTCCCAAAAGGTCACCTAATTCTAGCTCTTCAGTAAAGTGGAGGCTAAGGTAAGGTTCAAAGATCTCCAAACCTCCTCCCAAAGGTCACCTCATTCCAGCTCTTCAGTAAAGTGGAGACTAAGGTAAGGTTCAAAGATCTCCAAACCTCTCCCAAAGGTCACTTATTCCAGCTCTTCAGTAAAGTGGAGACTAAGGTAAGGTTCAAAGATCTCCAAACCTCTCCCCAATGTCACCACCTTGCTGTTCTATGGTAAAGTTGAGGCTGAGGTCAAGTTTGGGGAATTTATGAGAGTTTTGTTACTCTGTCCAAAATGCTTGAAATAATTTGCATTAGGCACTGAAGCAGATATTTTATCTTAAATACCAAGATATATAAGATTACCCTCAAACCTACAGTAGTGTTACAGTACTAATCATTATTCTGGTTCAGTTGAGATAACCCTACTGCGCATCACCAGTAAAACTCAATTAGTGTAGTATAATCACAATATGTCGCAGCGAATTTAAAAGTACAGTATGGTTATCCCTAAACCTATCTGTGTAAATAAGTAGTTGTTACCAAGAATCGTAACAAAAACAGGAATATGTTTGTAATTTCAGATTGGTGGAATATATGAAAACATGAAACTCTGTTGTTTCTTAATCAGTGAAGGGAGCATGTTGATTGCTTCTTAAAATCAAATGTTGTAGGCTTCATTAAGTTTATCATGCTTAAAGTCAGATGTTCAATCCAGTCTTGTTTCAGTTTTAATAATTATGAAAATATTCATTTTCATCAGTTCCAATTTTTACCCAAATGTGAATTTGTATTCAGAGGAATGTATTTCTATAATTGTAGGTTCAGGATCTTGTAAGTAAGTACCCAAATCAGGCAGGTACGTCTCTACTGAAGGGTCGCCTGTCTGAAAAACAGTGGGAGCAGGTGTTGAAGATTAATGAGGCCCTGTGTCGCGAGTATCAGACAAGACGGGAAATGTTGCTGAAGCGTTTAGACGTTACAATCCAGTCATTCATGTGGTCAGAGAAAGCTAAGGTAGGGAGGCATGGTGGGCACAGTCTCAACAGTGTAGTCTATGCTGTTTCTCATACTTGTATTGAATTTTGATATAAAAAAGGATAGGGTACATAAGTTATGGTTTTGACCTTTAAGTTTCTCACAATTCTAAAACGAAATGTTATGCAATCTTTATAGTGATAAAGTGTCAGTTTTATCCATCTCTGAAATAATAACAACAACAAAACCATCTTCCAACAGCATAACTATGATGTTCCAGATCACAAAGAAACTCTACGAAATGAAGTGTTTGAAATAACACATTTCAAGTCGATACATAGCTATCAAAACGTAAATAAACAATATTATGGTATAAAGGATTATCTCCCTTTCATTGTAATTGATCATTTTCTTGCTATACGGGCCATACAAATATCACATCCACACACATAAAATATGCACCATTTACCATGTTTTGCAGAACAAAGAAAATGATATTGCAGCTGTTTATCAACCAGTTCGTAAAAGTCTACAAGCAAAGCCTACAATAGGTGTAGCTAACATCCTGTCAGCTAGAGACGGTGAGTACTCGTAACAGTAGGTAAACAACATCTTCCTGTTAGAGAATCATTGTAAAGAAACAGATCAATATGAAGTACATGTTTGAATTGGTTAAGTTTTGGGAGCTTCACTATTCTAAACAGCTTAGGGTTCTCTGTGATGGCCAGCCCTCGGACATAATCCACCTGTTGAAGTGTTTTTCCTCGGACCAAACATACCTTGAGAAGTGTATACTTACTGTCTTCCCTATCTAACTCTCCAGTATTTTGGTTCCTCAGACCTGACATGCCTTGAGAAGACAAGCAGTGGTGATGCCAGGGAGAAAACCAAGTGTGCCATAAACAGAGTCCTGATACCAAAGGTATTAATCAAGGGAGATAACTGGTGTTTCACTGTCGGTACAAAAACTGTGTACCACAGTTTTGCAGTTAGTGGAAAATTCATATGAAATTTTAAATTGAATAACTGTACCCACATCTAATTTATGTATGCTATGGAGTTTAGGAACAGTTTGTAAAATGTTAAATTCTTTGAAAGTTCTGTCAGATCATGGCATCTTAAATGTTTCTAAAGGTTTTTTTACAACTATGTGTTAAGCTTTTTGTTGTTCTTGGTAGGTGCCTGATCGAGGTGGTCGGGCATGGGAACTAGAGCCACCTCCACCAGAAATGCCATCCTTCATGAAGAGGGATGCAGGACAACAGCGACCACAGAGTAAGTAACGACAATGAACAAATTACTTAAATAGCTCAACACGTCCATTGGCTTGTCTTGTTCTGTTTACATAACAATTTGATTGCAACTATTCCAACATCTATTTTATCAATTTTTTTAAAAACAATTTGAGTTTTGGTCTGTATTATGACAAACATGTGAAGGTGAACATATCGAAAAAATAGGAATGCTGCTTTAAAAACAAAAGTTACCAACGTTTAATCCACCAGCATATTGTAATGTTGGGACCGCAACTTGGAAATTTTGTTTAGATAGCTTTTGTTGTAAAGAGAGTAGCCATCTACCAATAAACATACCTGCAGACGATGGTTTTCTTGGTAGAATTAGTTTCATTGCAATGCAAGTTCATGAATTCAACATGACTGAACATTTCTAATCAAGTAACACTTCAGCCTTAACAATCTGGAAACTATACATTAAAGATTGCAGAAATCTGCAATTTCCCACCTCTATATTAAAGTAATACATATATGCAGTATGATGTATTATATTTGGCCAAATAAGACATTGACACAAGACAACATGTACAATGTTTCTATCTTCATCACATGAAAAGTTTGTTTTGTTATTAGGTGGTCGTGGAGGTGGTCGTGGTGGCGGAGGTGGTCGTGGAGGAGGGGGAGGAGGAGGAGGAAGGGGAAAGATACAGGGAGGCTGGGGTGATGCAAACCCCAGCCAGCAAGGTGGCAACTGGGGACAAGGTGGAGGTGGATACAACCAAGGGAGAGGTGGATACCAAGGAGGAGGTGGGCGTGGCTATGGAAACCAAGGTGGTGGTTCTGGTAACCAGGGGGGTGGATATGGAAACCAAGGTGGTGGCTATGATAACCAGGGAGGTGGCTCTGGTAACCAGGGAAGTTATCATCAAGGAGGACAAAGTGACAATTATCAAGGAGGAGGAGGAAGAGGGGGAGGTAGAGGAAGAAAAGGAAGTGGTCGAGGTGGCAGGGGACGTGGTGGCGGATATTGATTAGTCGTATATATTGTCACAAAGTGTCTGATTGGTGAAGTATGCTGAGAAATGTCTGAAAGGTTCTTGTTCGAAAGATTGAATGCTATCAAGGTATGATTTGTGTAGTTCAAGCTGATGATGTATACCTTGTTGCTAATGAGGGTGGTTCTGTAATGGTTTGATTATCACATGACGATCACCTAGTTATCACATGGATTTGTATGATGGTATCTGCTGAATTCCATAAAACCTAGTCTTTTGTTAGAAAGTTTTTGCTTTCACTGAGCTCTGTATTAAACCCAATATTGAAGTGTGAATAGCCTAATCTTACTTGCTTCAACCTATTTATTCCTCTGCATTGTGTATACAATATGATATTGACAGATAGAGACATGGTGATGGGTAATTTGTCCTTAACGTCTGTTACAAACACAGCTATATAACAAAATCGGCACAACATTTCAAACATTTGTATATAAAATCTTTCGTTTACATCATGAACATAAGATATTAGAGTCCTTGATAATGAAAATGTTTTGCTTTGATGTTTTGAATATCTGAAAAGATTTGGTCCAGTGAAAGGTTTATATAATTGCTTTTACATAGCAGAAGGGTAAGTGTTTGATCCTGGTGAGGAAGGCACTTTTTTGTACTAAACCCCATAATACCCATATTTACCTTTTTCCTTGGTTCGCTATGCATTTATTTACAATTACATTGTATAATGTACCAAATATTTTAGACCTCGCCTCCCATGAATTATTGTTAACTTTGCCGTCCTCCCCCATCCCACTTCCATGCATTTATCATAATTTTAAAAGTCTGTAGTACAGCTTACTGTACCCGATGTATTAACTGTTGTTTGTTTTCAGATTTGTTTTGGTCCAGTTTACATATTTATGAAGATATGTATTATATTGTTGCATATGTATTTCATGACTTTCCCATTTATGGGATGACACTGAATACCTCAAACCTTTCTTGTAATAAAGACAAAAGCTAAGTTAAATGTTATTGATAGCAATGTAAAAAGTTACCTACAAAGTGTTAAGGATGCTCGCAACTAGCAGCATGCGATAATTATATCCACGATATTGACATTACATACAAATTTAGTTTGGTTGTGTGATTCTCAATACATTATATTGTCCATTTGATATTACCCTGCTATATCAGATTGTGTACTAGTAAGTGGTTCATGTGCATTTCAATTATTTATGTATTAAAAGTTGCAATGTCTGGATGACAAAATTTCTACATTTTTAAGCTTTAAAACTGTTTACAGCATGTAACTTTTTTTTGTTATCAATACTGCTGTATCAAGTTTTATATAATGTGTTAATATGTTTTGTGTGTGTATATCTTATACATATATATCCAAGATGGCGGACGTTTGTGAACAGGGGGGTTGCTCACAATTAAGCCCCCTCCCAACTTTTGGCCCATCTTTTTTCTCAGGAGGGGGGGGGGCTTATTGGCGATAAAATACGGTACATTATTCGATATTGAAATTCAAAATCTTGCGAAATCTTGCAAAAGTGAAAAATGTGCAGTCTTACATTGCACACAGCGGTAGGGAGGTTGCCCTGGGATACATATCCCAAGCTTTTAATTCTTTTTGGGGGAGGGATGGGGGCATAGACATTAACTATAATTCTTCTCTTTTTTACACATCATCAAAGAGACTCACTTTCGATTTGGTGAACCTTTTTCAATTATTCAGATATTCTGGCCAGTCTATTTTAACCAAAGTTGGTACAATGTATGAAAGTGCTATATGATTAATATGTGTTATTGATGACTTGGGTAAAGATTGTTAAAATGTTAAAGGTCTTGGTTAGTGAAACTGGTTATCTTTATGATGGAAATTGGTAAGTGAATGAATGTTGATACTCTTTTTACCTCCGGGCTACTTGCAATAAACATGAGCAGTAGCAGAAATCATTGGGATCGAGGTTTACCTTACCTAACCCCTGTATAGTGGCAGATTTACCTCACCTCATCCCTGTATAGTGGCAGGTTTTCCTCACCTTTTCCCTGTATAGTGGCAGGGTTTTCTCACCCCAACCCCGTATAGTGGGAGATACAGAGGGTTCATGGGGTCAAGATTTACCTTGCTTAATCCCTGTAATATAGTGGTAGATACAGAGGTTTCATGCGATCGAGGTTTACCTTGCCTAATCCCTGTATAGTGGCAGTTTTACCTCAGCTCATCCCTGTATAGTGGCAGGTTTTCCTCACCTAATCCTTGTATAGTGGCAGGTTTACCTCACCTTATCCCCGTATAGTGGCAGGGTTTTCTCACCCAACCCCCGTATAGTGGGAGATACAGAGGGTTCATGGGATCGAGGTTTACCTTACCTAATCCCTGTATAGTGGCAGTTTTACCTCACCTTATCCCTGTATAGTGGCAGGGTTTCCCCCCCCAAACCCCGTATAGTGGGAGATACAGAGGGTTCATGGGATCGAGGGTTTCATTGCCTAATCCCTGTATAGTGGCAGTTTTACCTCACCTCATCCCTGTAAAGTGGCAGTTATACCTCACCTAACCCCTGTATAGTGGTAGATAGAGAGGTTTCATGGGATCAAGATTTAGTATAGTGGCAGGTTTTCCTCACCTAACCCCCGTTTAGTGGGAGATACAGAGGGTTCATGGGATCGAGGTTTACATTGCCTAATCCCTGTATAGTGGCAGGTTTACCTCACCTTATCCCTGTATAGTGGCAGGTTTACCTCACCTAACCCCTGTATAGTGGTAGATACAGAGGTTTCATGGGATCAAGATTTACCTTGCTTAATCCCTGTATAGTGGCAGGTTTACCTCACCTAATCCCTGTATATTGGCAGGGTTTCCTCCCCTAACCCCTGTATAGTGGTAGAGACAGAGGGTTCATGGGATCAAGATTTACCTTGCTTAATCCCTGAATAGTGGCAGATTTAACTCACCTAATCCCTGTATAGTGGCAGGGTTTCCTCACCTAATCCTTGTATAGTGGCAGGTTTACCTCACCTAACCCCTGTATAGTGGTATATACAGAGGTTTCATGGGATCGAGGTTTACCTCACCTAATCCCTGTATAGTGGCAGGTTTACCTCACCTAACCCCTGTATAATGGTAGGTTTACCTCACCTAACCCCTTTATAGTGGTAGATACAGAGGTTTTATGGGATCGAGGGTCACCTCATCTTATTACTGTATAGTGATAGATACAGAGCCTGAGAGGTTTCATGGGATTGGAGGCTTACCTCACAAATTTCCTGTGATGATTTATGAATCCCCCTATACCTGACCCCCAACTTGATCTCTAGATCTGCCACCGATATAAGTAAGGTGTATTTGAACTTGTTCCTTGTTCCATTGTATCCTCTATCTGCAGAGTTTTTTCTGTGCAAATGATGTTATTAATTTATGCAAAACTTAGAATAAATTGTATCAAAGCACATTCTTTTACTCTTTTAACTGTCATTGATTATGTCTCCCCTTCAAATGAATGGAGACATATTGTATTAGTACTGGTTCTTATGGTTCTTCTTGTTCTTCTGGTACTTCTAATCACAACTTGTCTGGACCATAAATTTTAAACTGTTAAAGATATCTTGATGAAACTTGAGGTATGCTTGCATCACCCACAAAAGGTGTGCATTGCACTGGAATTGGATCACTGACCTTCACCTCAAGGTCAAAAGTCAAATAAGTGCAACATTTTCAGGAAATTCTTGTCCAGCCTGTAAATAATAAACCGTTAGAGATATCTTGATCAAACTTGAAGTATACCTGCATCATCCACAGAAGGTTGCAGTGCACTTAAATAGGTCTTGTGCCCCTCTTTTTACAGAGTTATGGCCCTTTGTTAGTTTTTGATACCAAAGTTTGTCTGGAGCATAAGTTCCATGTTATTTCACCTACGTTGACCAAACTTACCATATTTATATATCTTGGGAAGGCGGAATCTCTCGCATTAAAATCCAATATGTATAGAGCTATGGCCCTTTGTTTATTTTTAATACCAAAGTTTGTACACGGTATAACTTCAATGTTTTTCACCTACATTGACCAAACTTGCTATAGTTATGTATATTTTAGAATATACACACCTTAATATTGATGTGACCTTTCTATTCTTCAAAATATGCATATTGGCTAATAAGAGAGACAAATGTTTTTGTTCACAAAAACAAATTATGTTTTTGTTCACAATTTTTTTTTAGTTTCTTGATAAAAATGGGACTTATTTTTTGAGAGTATTAGAAAATAGGGATTAGAAGTCACAGCATTCTTCATGGCATTTCAGCTAATATAACCTAGTCTGAAGGCTTCAACATGCAGTCACCATTGCATTCATCTGTCATTCAGTCCATGGTTTAACCTTTTAGCATTTTCTCCATAAGAACCCAAGACTAAGATTCATGCTATTTTGCCTATGGCTTGTATTAGTTCAAGGTCACAAATATTTGAAAAAAATATTGAAATGACTCCTAATACATAAGGAAGTTATGTGTGCAATAGCTGAAAGGGATGAATGGATGTGAAGTTTGTTCACAAACTTTACCTTTACCCTCGGTCAAGGTCACAGAGGTCAAATGTGTTATAAGAACCGTCATTAAATAAGCAATGATTCTGGACTCCTGATACTGTGCATGCAGCTTGCTTGTGTGAAGGACTATCAAGATTGAACATATAAATAATTCTATTTAGGGTCAAATGATCAAATGTATTTAAACATCATCAAACGACTTCTAGTGAACTATGCGGCACAGAATCACGATATTTAGCCTGTTGCTTACTTGTACATTGTATGAAGGATTGTTAAGTGATTCAAATAAACCATATTGCATTATGTGCATTAAAATATTAAAACAGAAATGGCATTTGGTCTATATTTTGTTGGAATGTAGATCCACCACGTTTGAATCGTTTCCGACAACTTTGTACAGTTTTTCAGAAAATGGAGTCCGGCTTTAGGGCCTATCGTGGTTATGTAGTTTGAGGTCATAACTGGTACCGCCAAGGTTAAAATGACAAGAAGGATTCAAAGGATTGCAAGGTCACAGGAATCTTTTTTGTTTAAAAAACAAACTTTCAACAACTTTCTGAACAGTCGACATATTTGGAGTGTAGTTAGCTTGCTGAAAGGAATTATGAAGTCGGCTAAAATATATGACATTAACCCAAATTCAAGGTCGTGATTCGAAACAACATCTCAAGAATTACAATGCGTATAGTCATCGTATTTGGCATAAAGTTCACTAGGGTGAAATGTTGTTCAAATGAATAACCTTGTCGGGCATTGAAGTTCACAAACGATCAGATATTTGGCTTACACCATAAATAACAGGCGAAGAACAATATAGGCCCTTTAGGTCTCTTTGTTGATTTGGCATTATTTTGGAAACGTAATATTCATGTAAGACCAGTTTATGAACTGACAACTATAGATAAGTTTGATATGGCATTTTAAGTAGAATTGAACATCTCTAGGTATTATCGCAGTAAGTTTCTTTCTAAGCTAGGGAAGATGTTATTCAGATCATTTGCCATATAACACCAGTTATAATCATTTTTGATGACTTATGGGATTGCGGATTTCAACGAGCAGACTATTCACCGTATTATTGCAAGTTCTACTGTGGCACTGTGCCTACAGTTCTGGTTGTTTACTTTGTATATATGTAAACATATATATTTGTATGGGGCTGTTATCACGCCCCTATGAGAGGCCAGCTTAATTTACTGGAGAGTATGTTGGGAGGTTCACGCCCCTGAAAAAACTCGTAGATGTTTTTAGTGTGGCACTTAATGTCTATTAAACGCGGGTAAACATGGAAACAATGGCTATATACGATATTGCAAAGAAAGGTAAACTTTTAACGTTAATTGTATTTGTAGATAAGTTAAACGATAGCTTTAAACTAATGGTAACTTTCCAAGGAATGTCATTCAAAATAACTTTTACCCTTTTATATATGTTTGTGCAGTATTCGCTTCAAAGCTCACTAACAAAATGTCATACCCGTATTCTTCTGCACACTACGTAATTCTGTTTCGTTTTCGTTTGATACTTATATCAGGTTCTTGCCCTGAACTGAACATTGAATCAACAAGGGTATTCATTTTATGGCGCAGGTAATATAAAGAAAGGTTAAAACATCGGGAGGGGGGATGCAATATCTTGGCGGCAATGTGTTTTGTACTTGTATCATTAGTCGCGATCCGATTTGTGTATACATATATACAATTAGAATGTTTTCTCGTCTCAGCTTCGCGGTCGATGGGTATTAGAATTTGATTTGAAACCACGTGGGAATGGGCTTCATCTAGAGTTCGTCGTGGCGCCGAGCCTACAGTCACCGTTTACTGAACCGACAACAGTGTATTCGCCATTATGTTTTCACCTCACATCTCTGGCAGGCTGTGCACTTTCCTGAATATCAGGTTTTCTCATCAAGGAACGTGAAAAAGTCTCGTCAGGGGCGTTTTGTGAAAAAATATTTCAAGCATGTTTGTTTTCTAAAAGCTGATATTATTGTAGATTACCTAAATTTCAAAAAGAGATTTATCTTTCCGTTAATTCGCTAGGAGAGGCAATCTCGATTTTAAATCATTCAACCAAGAAGATATAGAGCTGCCGTTGTTCAATTCCCAAACTCGGATAATTATACAAGAAACAGTGCGGTAGTTGTATGTTTCCTGAATTTAAATCTCTGGAATATGCCATTTAAAGTGCTGTTGCGAAAGTTGGTGCTCACAAAAACTAGAATGTTAACAGTATAACGGCGTTCACGGAGATTCTTAGATATAGTCATAAGTTTGTTCCAATGAAAGCTAAAATTAAGGCGACATTTAGTTTCATTTTAGAAAAAATAATTCCCGAGTTGTGTTAATTAATTGTATTATCTTACTTTGTGTCACAGACCGTCAGCGATCCAACTTGGGCGTCTAATTACGTTGATTTTGGAAAGGGTACACGGATCAACCCCCACTTGGACGAGGCTAGTGCTAACACATGATATAGTACCGGGATCCACAACAGTGCTTAGTGTATTCATGTTTACGTTATCTCAGTTTCCCAAAGAACAACTTTTAAAATATTTGACCTTATTATTAAATGGTGAGAGTTCAAAGAGTCCAAACCTTTTTGTTGAACGTTCCTCTGTAAGAACACGTACCTCGCCCTCCAGTAAGTGTTGGGATAATACGAAGCGATGGAAGGTACCTATTCCCACAGTCTAACTACGAAAAGTACCTGGCCCTCCAGTAAGTGGTACCTATTCCCACCGTCTAACTAGGAAAAGTACCTGTCTCTCCAATAAGTGTTGGGATAACAGGAAGCGATGGAAGGTACCTATTCCCACAGTCTAACTACGAAAAGTACCTGGCCCTCCAGTAAGTGGTACCTATTCCCACAGTCTAACCAGGAAAAGTACCTGGCCCTCGAGTAAGTGTTGGGATAACAGGAAGCGATGGAAGGTACCTATTCCCACAGTCTAACTACGAAAAGTACCTGGCCCTCCAGTAAGTGGTACCTATTCCCACAGTCTAACTAGGAAAAGTACCTGTCCCTTGGGATAACACGAAGCGATGGAAGGTACCTATTCCCACAGTCTAACTAGGAAAAGTACCTGTCTCTCCAATAAGTGTTGGGATAACAGGAAGCGATGGAAGGTACCTATTCCCACAGTCTAACTAGGAAAAGTTCCTGGTCCTCCAGTAAGTGTTGGGTAACACGATGCGATGGAAGGTACCTATTCCCACAGTCTATCTAGGAAAAGTACCTGGCCCCCAGTAAGTGTTGGGATAACACGAAGCGATAGAAGGTACCTATTCCCACAGTCTAACTAGGATAAGTACCTGGCCCTCCAGTAAGTGGTACCTATTCCCACAGTCTAACTAGAAAAAGTACCTGTCCCTCCAGTAAGTGTTGGGATAACAGGAAGCGATGGAAGGTACCTATTCCCACAGTCTATCTAGGAAAAGTACCTGGCCCCCAGTAAGTGTTGGGATAACACGAAGCGATGGAAGGTACCTATTCCCACAGTCTAACTAGGAAAAGTACCTGGCCCTCAGGAAGTAGACCTGTGTCAGTTTTAGGGGATACTACTTCTGTATGACAATCAGATGACATTGAACTTGGGCATTCAAATACTACCAGAGGTCGTTCCCGGGTACTCGGTTTGGTTAAATTGTTCAGTGAGAGTTTTATAATTGGTGGAATCAGGGTGTGTCAATTGTTTACCGTATTATGCAGGGTCTGCAAAAACAAAACAAATGTTTTCTGTGTTAAATTTAATGACATTTTACGTACAGTGTTTTATGTGTTATCATTGATGGACTCGTACATTGTTTCCTTTGGTAATCACGGAGAAATCGTTCAAAGAGTTTTCCTCATTTTGTTCATGCACGTTTCAACACATTTAAAGCATTCATACGCAAATTCGATTATGGATGTTGTCGATCTGAAAGTCGGGCTATAATGAACATGTAAATTGCTGAGACAATTCAATTACAGATATCGAAATTCTCTGAGAATACGACACCATTTGTCTTCAAGTGAAGATTCATGCCAATCTCACGTAGAACGGCAATTGTCTGAAGATGTAACCGTGGACGGCTGATGAAGTAAATGAGATTTACGTGTAACGCTCACGGAACACTGATGGTCGGCCAGTAGGACAGCGTGTCATTAGTACTGTAGTCGTCGTCAATCAGCCGCCGCTCACATCTGGACAAATGATTGATTTTGTCATATGAATTGGAAGGGAAAATACAAGGAAACACGAAATCCATGTGAAATTGTCATCATATAATAAGTGTTACAACAATGGTCACCGAAATGGAGCATGTATGTCTCGGGACTTGGGGAAATGTGTAGCAGCATCTGTATTACTCTGAACCTAGTAACTGTTTGAGAGAGCCTTATAAAATTGACTCCTATTTAATTGTCAGTATTTGTGTTGCATTTTGGTGCTCGCGTGTATTTTTCAATCCGGAAATTAAAGCAGTAAAGAATCCAACCCTCTTAACTGACATGTATGGTGCAATTAGACAAAATATTGACAATATGGACTCTCCAGTAAATGGTTTATAGGAGGAAGGACAACAGTTAGACGGCATTTATGTGTATTGACGGTCATTGGCTCGGGGACATCGTTTGGTTTTATAGGGTTTAACCCCCATTAACAGCTTAGGTCATTTAAGAACGTTTTCCATGTGAATAATGCGTTTACTTTCATGTGTGTATGTGTGCTGGAGGCAGGGTATGTTGGTGTATTTGCCTCCTTGTGATAGCGCAGATCTGATGTCGACTAGATAGTGCTATCTTGCTGAAATATCATGCCGAAGGCATACACCCCGTCACACTGTACTGACAACGGGTGAAACAGTTGTTGCCATTACCCTAAATGCTGAGCATTTAGCAGTTGATAAAAAGCTATCATTTTATGGACTTTGTATGTCCCGGTATGGGGATAGACCCCATTGCCTTCACTACTTGGGCAAACGTTCAATATTAAGGCATTGCCAAGCAAGGCACTCAGAAGCAAAAAAATAAAATTTTAAAGTAGAGGGAAATATTGATAAATATAATTGACATTCTACACAATTCAACTCCCAAGACATCAATTACTCATTACAATTGTTGTATAACATATTGTTTATACCACACGTGGTATAAACATTACACGCGTTTTGATTGGCTGACACGGTGAACTTTGACCGGGAATCCTTTGAATGGACAATTTGGTGGGAAAGCCGCTTCATGCGGTGGCAGAAATGATGATACACAGAAAGAAGTTCGTCATTGTTTTTGTGATAATAAATTTCTTATGTTGGTTTCTATAAATTTATTGCTTTGAAGACAATACATTTGTTACGTACTTGTTATG